ATTTTGAAAGTTGTCACTAGACATCACACACTTTGTAAATAGTGACTGGATGGACTGAAGTGAAACAATCTGAATCTGTGCACAATTTCATTCATTACATGATTTTCTGAGACACCTGTCAACTCTTGACTGCCCAAAATCTGCAGACTGGCTATAACTTTCAGTAACTAACCTCAACTACTCCAGACTGCAAATCGGGGCAAAAGTTCTGTGGTGTATTCCAGGTTCCGACTCAAAACAGTCCAGCAATTATTGTAAGACAAAAAGGTAGCCATACCAACATGTCCATAGCCCACAACATTCTTGGCCATGTCTCCAAGGTGCCCCCTCATGTCTTGGACTAAATCGTAGATCTTTTCCACTGGGAGGGAAATGTCATATTTGTAGGTGTAGCCTTCATGTGTCAGAGCTTCTGTGACTCTCTCCCTCAAAGACCACAATGCCTGTGAATGACATAAGATCTTCAGCACTAGACAGAACAAATGTCAAATTCAAAATCATGTTGAATTTAGCTGATCAACAGAAGTGAGCAGAGTGCCTTGATTTTTGTCGCCTCTGTTGCAACTGTCCCATCAGTTACTAGAGATGATGTCATGACTTCCTCAAGGAATTGATGTAGTTTTTCTTCATCATGGGTTGCGTTGGATCCAGCGGTCTCGATGACAATGTAAAAGGGACTTTCTGCAACACATATCATTCCAATAAGTCCAATACAAAACAGAAATGAGGGTTATCCAACATTTTTAAAACATCTACCTACCAAAAGTTGGCATGAAATGAAAATTCACACCATATATATTTTCTAAATGAGTTTTATTGATCTTATTGTGAATGAATCAGCCATGCATGTTTTTTTGACTTCAGTTTTGTGGTCAATTGATAACTTCTCTCTGGTGATATATGCTGCACGTCTCCAATCATACAGTCTGCTTAAACCCCACCCCTTTCTTACAATTGACCTTTAAGCTCACATTCAAATCTGCTTCCATCTAATGAATAACCGCAGAACAGAACCAAGTCCCCAATTCTATGTATTTTCCGATAGTCCACCTCACTTGGATGTACGTCACAAAAGAAAAGATCTGTTACTACTTCCATCTCAACTTTAAGAACACAGATACCCAAAGTTGTCTTTGAAACAGTAAAGACACTAGTGTTTACCTGTGATGGGGTTGGTGAGTTTCAGATGCTTCTCCAGAAGGCTCATACAGGAGGCATCTAAAAACTCAAAAGCAGACAGGATTTCTCCCAGCATCCCTCTACAATACTGAAATGTTTCCAGCAGTTGCTGGAAGCTGGAGCACCCTGCAGGACACATGAGGAGCTGCAATAAGTTTTTTAGCCACACTATGTGCATGAAAAGGAGAACTGAGAGTTAACTGAAACGATAACTATATTAGCATCATTTTACCTAAAAAAGCTACATTGACAGCTTTAGGCTTGCGGGGGCACAGGATGGAAACTGCAGTAATGACTCCTAATGTCCCTTCTGAGCCAATGAAAAGCTGCTTGAGGTCATAACCAGTGTTGTCCTTGCGAAGTGTGGCCAAGCATTTCAAAATTCGCCCATCTGCCAAAACCTACACATGTGAGACATACAAGAATACTACTTAATAGTAGCCATTTAGATCCTTTTCATCATATAAAAAGAGGCTGATTTCTTCCTCTTAATGATTCAAGTCTAACACAAAAGCATGAATGTATTATTATCAAACTGCATCTGGAATAATCATGCGAGCAAGAAATAAATACTAATTTGACACCTTCATTGTCTATGTTGAGTCAGTTCTATGTGTTTTTTAATGGAACATCATCTATCAGAATGTCTGGGGAGTTCATTTCTGTTAAAGAGGAGGACCTCACCACTTCCAGGCCCAGAACTGTCCCTCGAAGCGACCCGTAGCGCAGCAGTCTGAGACCACCTGCATTAGTGGACACATTCCCTCCAATATGGCAGCTTCCCTTCGCCCCTAGATCCAGCGGCATGATGAAGTCTCTTTCCTCTAGATAGTTAGACAGGTTCTCCAACACACAGCCTGCCTGACAAGTGAGGATACCTGGAAGCCAAACAAATATCCTTTCAAGAAAAGTATTAAGGTATAATGATTTTGACTTGTTTTTATATTTAGATTTGTCACTGATGATAGATGCTTCATGACAAGTTATAATAGATAACAAGGTGATTTAGCAAACACACCTGAGATGTTGTCGAATGTGATGACTTGGTTCATTAAAGAAGTGGAAAGGATGATCTCATCAAAAACAGGGACGCTTCCTCCCACCAGACCTGTGTTTCCTCCCTGCGGACACACTGCCAGATTCCGCTCACTACAGTGCCTGTGAAAAACATGGATAATTTAATAGTACAATTTTTGTAACCAGCTGTAAAAGTCAATGTGATCATGGAAAACTGACCTAAGAATCTGAGAGACCTCTTCTGTTGTTTTGGGTCTCAGAAGTACTTCACTATTACCTTCAAGAAAAACACACCCATTAATTAAAATATTGCTACTTTTTAATCTTAAATAGTATAATTCCTAAACACTACACTTAATGTGTCTAAACACTATCTGTAGATTGTATTTAGAATCTGCTGAATCTTTAGATTGTTTTCATCTTCTATGTTTGCATCATATTATGTCACATATAAACACATTACCATTTAAATTATTTTTGTTGTTGTTTGAAAGAAATAATGATTTTATTCAGCAGGGACACATTAAATTGATCAAAAGCAACAGTAAAGACATTTTATAATTTTACAAAAGACGTCTACTTTAAACAAATTTTGTTCTTTTGAACTTCCTATTCATCAAAGAACCACGAAAAAAAATGTTTTCCACAAAAATATGAAGCAGCACAACTATTTTCAACACTGATAATAATAAGGTTTTTTTTCTTGAGCACCAAATCAGCATAATAAAATTATTAAATATAATAAAAATATTAAAAGTGAAGGATCTTGTGAAACTAAAAGACTGGAGTAAAGATGAGGAAAATTCAGCTTTGCCATTACAGAAATTAATTTATATATATATATATATATATATATATATAAAAGTTGTTTAAAATTGTAATATTTATACTTTATTTAAATATTACAATATTTATATTGTAATATTTATACTGTTTTAAAATATTCCTGACCCCAAACTTTTCAACTAAAATGTGACAAACGCTCACTTACTTATAGATAAAACATACATAACACTTGAAAACTATTCTTTAGGAAATGCAAATTGAGTTCACCTTCCACTGTCTTAAGCCAGTCTACATTGCTGGACTTCAGCAGGTCTGGATCAGTGATGGTTCTTCCAGGCAGCAGTGTTCTAAAGAAAGCAAGGACTTCCTGTGTGACCCTGGAGAAGGGTAACCGTGGTGGGGCAGCACCCGGGTTGGCTGGACTGGCTCCCAACCCTCTGCTGTGCACATAGCGATGCTGAATCAGCTGGCTGGAGCGCACTATCAGAGCTCTGCCTACTGTAGTGAGAGCAGTGCTGTACTGTGGGCACAGTGACCAAATAAAAGTGGACTTCAGAGAAAGTCTTGCAAACTTCTCAAAGAAGATCACCATATCTGTGGTGGAGAGAACATGACACAGATTACTCCCATCACTCTGCTGTGCACACAGCGATGCTGAATCAGCTGGCTGGAGTGCACTATCAGAGCTCTGTCTACTGCAGTGAGATCAGTGCTGTACTGTGGGCACAGAGACCAAATATATGTGGACTTCAGAGGAAGTCTTGCAAACCTCTGAAAGATCCCCATATCTATAGTGGAGAGAACATGACACAGATTACTTACATTTCAAATTGCAAAATTGTACTCAAGTTTACCACTCATACAACGGGCCGATAACACAATTAGATGTACATGAACTTCAGTCTTATTGCATAGGAATAAATGGTTGATACAGAGAGCCAGCAAATCTATTACAGCCACCACAGTACACAGTAATCATATTTCTAGAACACAATACATGATCTTGAATCTGGTTATGGTAATCCGTTTACATGTTGCAGAATATTCCATAGTAGTAATAATGGTGTATCAGAATATAAACCTATTACATAATGTATATCAGAATATAAACATGATATTATATTGTGATATATTATTACTGTATTATATAGATTGTTATATTTATTTAATAACGTAACATTGATGGTCAGTGAACAGCTCATAACGACAAATACTATTGACCCAAGTAACTACAAAATGCCATTGAAATAAAAAGCAAATCAAATACATTTCCCGTGGTTTCTATCTGCATTTGTTACATTAAAGGGTTAACAGCTTATACACCTGACATAAACATGTAAGTGCTTTGACCCGTAGTTCATTAACATTCGTTACATTTATTCAAAATCTTGCTACAAAACATATCAGGTAGGATACCTACTGAATCAGAGGTGTAGGGAGTTTCAGCTGGTTTCACATTATATCACAAAGGCACTTAATCTTCTGACATTTTTCCTACAACACAGGTCTGTTCAAATGTTATGATTAACTTCCTCATGACCTTTGAGTTTTTGCAACAGGACTACAAAGTGGAACAGCGCTGTCTATTGGCGAGGAGTATAATGGCGCTCATTTATCCAGAGGGTAAGAGTTTGGTTCCTGTATTATTATTGTATCTTTTTTATTATTTCTACCACACATATTATAAATCAAAGGCACCCTGGCTGTGAAAACCCAGCTAAAGTCATTTTTTGGTGATTTACTGTTTTCTATATACAATCATCCTTCATAAGGTAAAGAACATTCTTTGAAAATGTAACATTGATATCTTTATTACTGACTAAGACCACGTCAAAGATTGAAATCATAGCGAAATTAATGGTTGAAATCAAACTTCGATGCTTGTTATCTCATAGATTTTGAGATTTTAGCCTGGATTTCACAGAGAGGGTCACATATTTTAATCTTTATTTTCTGGGGAAAAAAAACAAAAAAAAAACAAACATCAAATCAGGCATTGCTTATTTTATTGATAATTTATACAGTATTATAAATCTGAAGTAGGTTTTTATAATATGTTTTACCTTTTACAAGGAGTATTAAAATTGCAAATGCTAATAAAGGTCATTATGAACAATTTTCCAACCCTAATGTATCAATCTCATGTTGATGCTGGAAAAGCACATAATTTAGATATCTAAAGCACAATGTTGCCTTATACATTAATGTATGAAGTTCCACCTTTATTCATGACATTGCCTTTTACAAGGAGTATTAAAATTGCAAATGCTAATAAAGGTCATTATGAACAATTTTCCAACCCTAATGTAGCAATCTCATGTTGATGCTGGAAAAGCACATAATTTAGATAAGGCACAATGTTGCCTTATACATTAATGTATGAAGTTCCACCTTTATTCATGACATTAACAGCAGTTCACATCTCAGCTGAATCAACACACAGACTATCATTCCAGACTACTGTTAATAACTGATGCTGAAGGTTAATTAGTTTAGAACATGACTTGTGCTCTGAAATGGGTCTGTTTGGTGGTGTTATTGCTCATGCCCATCTTCAGCATCCACTTGGACTTCATCCTCCGCACATACTGCATGTCCTTCTGCTGCTGGCTCACAAAGCCTTTACCTGCAAGAGAAGACATGGTTTAAACAGTCAATGGTGCAGAAATAAAGTTAACCATCACCAGACAAAGATCATTCTTGACAGTCCTGACTTTGCAAACCTAACTTACCAAAGTCTCCTGCCCATCCAAGTGCTTTGTACTGTTTAAGGACTCGACCAACAGCCTTCTGGTTATGAGCTGGAACCAATGCCCTCTGAACACCAAACCTCTGCTTATAGTACCTCATTAGGGAGCGATGGCCAATCTTTGCACCTGTAACAAACAGCAAAAACAAAGTTTGGTTTAATATGCATTTTGATTTTGAATAAAATGCTCAAGTCAGGATACATTTACTTTCAAGAGTAAAAGCCTGATGGAATCAGTTAGGTGCGATTATTCTTCAAAAGGAAATATTTCCTGGCATGCTTAATATTTAATCTAAACATCAAGGCAATGTCATAATTAAATGTCATAACATAACGGTTATACAGAAACGTGTTGTAAACACAGCTGTTCATCAGTACCTGAGGGCAAAGTGAGCTCCAGCGTCTCATCATCAAACTCTACAGTCTTTTTATCAGGCAGTTCACCATCCTTCATCTCCGCATCATCTCCATCTTTAGCATCAGGATAACTGCTCCTGTATGTTTAGAGGGACAATGATTATTGCTCACATTTAAAATACATTTTATTTTAAATATTACTACTGATGATGTTTAAGCCCAGAACCTCAGTGATGGTGAACACTTTTTCTATCTACATGTTACAACTACAAATATCACACAAGAAATCTATTTTAAATCGAAAAGCAAAAAAAATCTGAATTTGTTGCATTACTGATTAATTTAATAATGTAGGTTAAAGTTAATTAATTTATTAGTACTTTTTTATATAAGTCATAGAAGTTTGTTAAAATTAGTACCTAGGGTTAATGCAACTTAATATTAAGCAAGATGCACAAGCATTGCTCACGGTCATTTTTTATTTAATTACAAATCATGTGATATAAAATGACAATCCAACAAAACGCCTGGTCGAAATATTTCAACAAATGTACCTGAAGTCATAAAAGTCTGCGAACTCGAGAGCGGCTTCTCTGTCTGTGAATAGTTTGCAGTGACTCTTGTCGGTCATGTGTGCCTGAACTGCTTCTGTAGTGTAGAATGACTTCCCTTTTTCATTACACCATAAGCACACCTTACCAACACCAACCTTCTCTCCTACAGAGAAATACACAGAGAAACACACTGATTACTGCAAATTCATAACTAATATTTTGAAAGACCACTTCAGTTCTCTCGCTGGCTTACCTAGGTATGAAATAAATCCTCTCAGGTCCACCAGATACTCAATATCAGGGAGGAAGAAGCTGTGTGTTTTGGTCATGTGCATCATGTTTCGGGCGAGTGAGCGTGAATGATGTCCACAGAACAGACAGTCTGTCACTGGGATGGCCCCGGGGGCCGGAGCTGCCCCAGATGTGGAGTACTCCTCCATCTCCTCCTCCTCTTCATCATCATCATCACCATCCATATCCTCATCCTCATCAACATCCTCCCATTCTTCAAAGAAAAAACAAGATTCTTAATTAGCGGTTTCAAAGCAAATCCGGTCAATTCAGTATTATTTATATGGAATTTTCTACAACACAGACTGTTTCAAAGCAACTTCATATTATTAAACATGACAACTACAGTGTACATGTTGTAAAATTCTTCAATTATGAAACTAATTGACTTTCAGCTGTAAAGCAGCTCAACAGAAGATAATAGTTCAATTCAGTTCAATGCTGATTCAATTCAGTTCAATAACTGTCAATGATGGAAAGTTCATTTAACACTACAAAAGACTTTATCCAGCTCAAATCAGTTCAAATTTTGTTCTCATTTAAAAGTGTCAGCACATTTAAATAATAAATAATATTACTAAATATTGTCTTTTAAACTGAGCAAGCCAAAAGCGACAGCTGCAAGGCAACAGTGATTTTATTGTATTTTATTCTGTGTATTTTACTCTATTTATCTTCAGAAAAAGATGTTTAGTTATGATTTACATTGTACTTTTAATTATTTTTTTTATCTTAATTTTATTAATTTCCTAGCACCTTTAATACATTTTTTTACTGTTATTTGTTACTTTTATTGTATATTTTCCTTTTCCTGTCATAATGCTTTGGCAATATTGCTTTGGCAATATTGAATGTAAATACAATCATTCAGTTCAAAAACTGAAATTAAAATTGTATTTTATTGTTAATGATTCTTACCTTCCTCCTCTTCTTCACCCTCCTCCGCTGCGATCTTCTTGGCCTGCTGCTTGAACCACTGCAGCCGAGGCGGTTTGTCCGGCTGCGTTCTGACCTGTTTCTCTGTGGGTGTGGCTTTAGAGGGGGTGTGTCTCTGATGCTCCCTGAGTGCTTTCTGAAGCGCTTCGTTCTGTGCGTCTTTATCTAGCTCCGCCCCTTTCTCCAGATTCTTCTCATTCATTCGCTGGACAGTCTCCTGGGCGGCGACCAAGGCTTTCCTCTCAGCGTACTGGTGCTTATTGGATTGGATGTGATTGTTGTAAGCATTGTCAGTGGAGAATTTTTTGTTGCAGGTGGCACAGTAGGCCGAGCCGTGTCCGCCGCTCTGACTCTGCTGCTCGGCCGCTGCCCGCTGTGCCAGCACTCGCTCCTGGAAGTTTTCTGAGGTAACCGGAGGCATGTCTGCAACCTTTCTCTTCAGATTATAGCGGTGCCAGTCTGTTTTATAATGTGCCCGCTGGACCTCCCCATCAGAGAACTGCACAAGGCAGCTGATGCACGTGTACGACATGACTGCAGAAAAACATACAGTGATTATGAATCAAATTCTTTCATGGTATTTTTAAATTTGGGTCACATCTGTGATTCTGACAGTTTAAACTACCCAAAGACCAAATTTTAGTGAATTTCATGCATTATATGTTAGTTCAATAATATTTTTAATTGAATATTTTCTATTTGTTTATTTCATGATTCTCTAAATTAAGCACTGTTCATTTCTATAAAAAAATAACAAAAATATTAGAGAAAACTAATTTTATATTATTTTTCAATTAATGCAATATTTAAGTTAAAATGGAGCAAATACATTTAAAATTGAATGATTGGGGGCAGATTAGTAATAAAAATATGTGACCCTGGACCACAAAACCAGCCTTGAGTAGCACGCGTATATTTGTAGCAATAGCCAACAATACACATTGTATGGGTCAAAATTATTGATTTTCCTTTTATGCCAAAACCATTAGGATATTAAGTAAAGATCATGTTCCATGAAGATATTTTGTACATTTCCTACCGTAAATATATCAAAACTTAATTTTTGATTAGTAATACACATTGCTAAGAACTTCATTTGGACAACTTTCTCAATATTTTTAAAGATTAAAGATTTCCAGATTTTCAAATAGTTGTATCTCAGCCAAATATGGTCCTATCCTAACAAACCTTACATCAATGGAAAACTTATTTATTCAGATTTCAGATGATGCATAAATTTCAATTTAAAAAAATTGACCCTTATGACTGGTTTTGTGGTCCAGGGTCGCATATGTACTATAATGTAGAGACAATAGATATAGCCTGTATAAACATATGAAGTGAAGTGACATGTGGCCAAGTATGGTGACCCATACTAGGAATTAGTGCTCTGCATTTATCCCATCCAAAGTGCGCACACACAGCAGTGAACACACACACACCGTGAACACACACCCGGAGCAGTGGGCAGCCATTTTTTGCTGCGGCATACCTTTGGGTTACGAGTCCGACTCTCTAACCATTAGGCCACAACTTCCCATATATATATACAAGGTTGTGCAATTCCTAGGTGCTGAGAACAGAAAACATTTTTCGTAATTACTTATATCTGCATTTAAATATAAATTTAGACACTAAGGCTACTGTTGTGAACGTTTAAGGTTTGTTTTGTGTAATATTGTATTAATTTGCAAAAATGTTGCTCTGTTCCATTCACACCAGTTCATAGGTTTGTCTGCATTATTGTGTGTTTGAATGGGAGTGTCTATACCGAACTCTGATGAGAACTTATTTTGTACATGGAAACGTCAAAAAATACATCGAAATACTGTTTGTCCAAAATTATGTAATTACTAAACAGTGAAATAACAGCACAGAAAAGCTTTGTTTTTTGCTGTAGTTGTTCAACTAAAATCTACAGCAAAAATACAAGATAAAACGCATAACATTTTACACAGTTATTGTAATTCAACACATTATTGAACTAGGTGTTTGTCACAACTATACTAAACCTCTTATACAGAAAATAAACATTTGTACAATTGCACTGTTTGACTCAAAATCTGTAAGTTACGTTAAACTGATGTAACGTTATGTTACACTGCATGTTACCAGCACGACATCTCCGGTGTCTCCTACAATAAATGAGACAGACTTATTTAAATAAACATCGGACATCGCACACTCATATGAGAGATAAAGGCATGACGTTTTAAACAATTGAAGTAAAACCATATGTAAAGTTACTTTATAGCAACATAACCATTAAATAACGTAATATTTGCGTATACCCACAGCAAGAGTAATATGTGGTAAATCTCTATAGAATTCCTTCAATATAATTCATTTTTTTATATGAGAAAGTGTGATCTTACTTGGTTTATTTGATCCTCCCTAGTAGAAGTTTACAGCCTCACAGCACTGACAACACGAAGATGGTGAAGCAACAACCTTTGACCCCGAACAGAAGTGCGCTCGCGGACACTGCGCCGCCCTGCGGTATGGAGGATACACCACGTCTTCTGGGTAACACCATCTTTCGTGTAAATGTCAAAACTCTTTGATTAGACAGTCATTAGATGGTTTTCTGTTTCGGTAAAAATTGTAATATCAGGGCATCTCAGAAAGGTTACTTAGAATAAACCACGCGAAACGGACCTAATTTGTAGGCTACTTCATTCAAATTACAATAGTATGTTTTCACTATGTAGGCCTAGGCTATGTTTTTAATGAAACGCGTAATGTCTTCTTTATTTATTTATCTATCTATTTATTTATTTAAATTATAATGTGTGTTTTACTCTGCAACTCGGAGAAATGCTTCTCAAATCTACTCACTTACCAATTAATGTACAAATATACAAAATTATAACCTTCTGTGACAGTAAACCACTTTAGTTCAGGTTTAAGATTGGATGTAGTCATTTAATATTGACCAAATGAAAACCCTGTATTTGTTGACCACTATTCTGAATATCAGAGGGAATATTCAGTTTTTGTGTTCCTTTAAAATTGGCGAAGCCCTCCTGGTAATAACTTGGACTTCAGCGTTAACCAGATATAATTACATTTGAAAAAAATAAAAAATCTTGAAAATTTCAGTCACTAATGGCACCATTTCCTATGAATGAGCCAATGCCACCAAAGAAAACAAAAAAAAGATGAAAGACATGGTCCATAATATTAATACTACATGTATTTAATTAATGTGGGTGAGCCATACGAATAAAAAAATAAAAATAAAACAAACGGTAATACTCTATACTGTTTGAAATAATGTTCTTTTCAGTTAACAGTGCAAAGTGTCACGGCCTCTTTCATGTCTGCTTCCTGAAGCCTGAAGCTTTTATTCTCCCCTACATTACAAAAGGTCATTTAGGAGATGATGAACATTCCTGTAAAATTGTTGTGAACAAATATTGTGCCCTTGTGTAGTCCACTTTAAGCATGATTCAGAGCTCATAGACATCTGAGGAATGAATTCAAAGCGCTTTTTAATAATTAATTGTGAGCCATTGCAGTGTGTATACACACCTGACACTGGTAAATCTGTATGAAGGGGACATGTCAATCAGCACGAGTCATAATCTGGCAGTTGGAATATTTCTATACCTCAGGGACATCACAACCTTGGAGACTTGATAGCATTAATGCTGTTTGTATGAGTTCTCGCTGGCACCCCTCAATTGAAATTAATTGCAGCCCAAGGGTCACTGTTTCACCGCATTAATTAATATTCACACTCTTCCCTAGGAGAACAGCAGTGGCGATTTATAACGGCTGTACCCTCCTCTCCAGCCACACGAGAGGGGCACTTCCTGCCAGAGAGATTGATGTTGGTGCCGTACACCGAGTTCTCAGGGGACAAGAGAGAGGATGAAACTAGAAACCTCTGACAGAGGAGACCTCACCAGCACAGCCGGTTAAATATCCTCAGAACATGCACACCATCACAATGTTTGCCATAAACGCGCAAGAATCAGAAATATACACTACTGTTCAAAAGCTTTGAATAATTATGATTTCTAAAATTGTTTTTAAAAACAAGCTTCTTTTAGCTCCGTTACTGCATTTATTTGATCAAAATGTAATATTGAAAAAATATTTTTATAATTTAAAATAACTTTTTGAAATTTATTTGAAAATTCAATTCAAGTGATGCAAAGCTGATTTGCTGCTCAAGAAACATTTATTTTTATGATGTTGAAAATGGCTTTGCTGTGTAATTATTTTTGTAGAAGCCATGAATAGGAGCAAAAGAGCATTTGTTTGAATTACATTTTTAACAATGTTTACATTTGTAACAATGGTAAAGTCTGAATTAATCTACTGACCTATTCAATAATAAAATGCTATAAAATGCCAATTGGAATCTGAAAAAAAAAAAAACATATAGTTTAAAAATGCTTTAAACACAACATTTACAAAGCTTGTAAATACCCGTAAGTTGACTGGGAAAAAATAAAATGCTAAAAAAATAAAATTTAAATGTCCCATTAACTGCAGATGTACAGAACTGTTCAAAAGTTTGGGGTATTTTTTATTTATTTGTTTGTTTTTAAATACATTAATACTTTACTTCAACAAGGATGCATTAAATTGATCAAAACTGACAGAAAAGATATTTATAGTATTTCTTTATCAAACAAATGTTCTTTTGAACTTACAATTCATCAAATGATCATGACAAAAATCTATATTTCCACACAAATATTAAGCAGCACAACTGTTTTCAACATTGATAATCTGTTTTCAACATTGATAACAATATGAAATATTTCTTGAGCAATAAATAAATAAGCATATTAAAATGATTTCTGGAGGATCATGTGACACTGAATACTGCAGGAATGCTGCTGAAAACTTTGCCATCATAAGAATAAATTACTTTTTAGAAATACATTAGATTATATAGTTATTTTAATAATACTTCACAATATAAATGTTTTCATTAATTTTTGATCAACTAAATGCAGTGAAAGGTGAGCATAAGAGACTTGAATAAACTTAAAAATGGTAGTTTACAAAAGCAGGTGAAGTGAACAGGACGCATAAAAAGAACACACATATGTTAAAATAAACTGTTTTAATAATAAATTAAGAGCTGGGAGAGCAGAAAGTCTTGGTAAAAGGGGTTATGTTATTTTATTAGTCTTAAATTTGTATCTACAACGAAGGGACAAGCAAAAAAATAAGCAACAACTCCATGAAAAAAGAAACCAAAGAGAGAGAAAAAAAATACATTATTGAAGCACTTTTTCCATCCTTTTTTAATAAGCAACTTTTAAATCTAAAAGAAACTTTACAATATAAAGAAACATACAAAGAACATCTTAATTTACTACACAAGACAGAAAGAGTCCCTAAGACAAGGATCCGTACTATCCTAAACATGAAATGCAAAGCAAACCCAGGAGACAGACTGCTTTATACTCGATACTGCTTTTCATTTGTCAGAAAGAACAACAGTGGAGGATTTTTTCTTTCTTTCCCACATCTGAAGCCCCTCCGCAACTCGTCTCCTCACTAATGTTACAGTATCGTACAGCGTCACAATAGAATTACAGAGATGGCCAACGACGTGAGTGGTTTACATACAGAGGACTGGCTGAGGAGAAGAGACCGCAACCTATAAAACACTATCTCAAAAGAACAGGAAGGACACTTCCCTTCATTTTATTACCTTTTTTTAAAATCCCTACTCTGAACAAGTTTTTAAACCTTTTTTTGTTTTTGAAATAGATAAAAATCCTTCATAGTAAAGTTTGCAATGTGTGATCCCTTTAGCACATAAAGAGACAAGTCCTGTGTTCATGTATGTCCTCATAGGCAATGTGTTAAAAGGTGGGCTGCTGTCTGGAAAGTGCAAAGTGAGGACACGTCCGAGAGGCTTTCACCCTCCACATACATCCCTCCTGTAAGTGTCTAGTCTACAAGGAGCGAACGGTACCACTTCAAACACCCCTTACTTTCCTGTTCTAAAACATGAGCGCTCAGACGTCGTTTACTAAGTAGAGGCTGACAAAACTTTACATTTACATGATTTAGTACATCTGTACAGCGTCAAAGACAGAGAATGGTGATTCTTTAACTACAAACATGGGTTCTTCCTTTACATTTTTTTTTACCCCTAAGATCTTGTAGTATTCATTGGTAGTGACTGAAATATCAAAACATGTCAATGATATCAAAATGCATTTTACAGTATTTACAAACAAACAAAGTAATACTATAAGATAGACGCTGTATAAATGTGTGTTTCTGTGTGTACATCGTGTCATCAAGCTGTGGAGAACTTAAAAACAGGTGCTGTGTGATTAATGTGTGTGTATGTAATCAGCAGGAGGATTTTAGCATTTAGCTCTGATATTTACCGGTTCCTTCGGACCCCTAACCATTTCACTGAGAGCCCTACTTCCAAAAACACGTTTTGTTTCAAGGGATAAGAACACCCCAAAATCACTCACCCTCGCGTCATTCCAAACCTGTGTGACTTTCAGTGGAAAATAAAAGAAGATACTTAGAAGAATGTTGGTAACCAAATAGTTTCGGTTCCCATTGACTTCCATTGCATGGTCAAAAATGACAAAGTCAATAGAGGCCGAAACGTTTTAGTTATCAACATTCTTCAAAAGAATCTTTAAAAAGACAGATTGAAATAAACTTAAAAGAAAAATGTTATTAACCAACGAATCTTCAAGTTCCTATTCACTTCCATTGTATGAAAAAACATTTTTTAAAAGTCAATGGAGACTGAAACAGTTGTTCTTCCAAAAAGAAAAAAGAAAAAAACAGTTTCACTTCTCATTGACTGAATGAACAAAAATTATAGGGACTGAAACAGTTTAATTACCAACATTCTTCAAAATATCTTCTGTAACAAAATAGATTAAAACATCTTCTATTAAGAATATTTTGAAGAATATTTTGAAGAATTGGTAACCAAACAGTTTCCATTCTCATTGACTTACACTGTATGGCCAAAAATTACAATTGGAGTCAACGGGAACCAAAACGGTTTATTTACTAACACTCTTCAAAATTCTTCTTTAACAAGATAGATTAAAGCATCTTCTTTAAGAATATTTTGAAGAATGTTGGTAACCAAACAATTTTGGTTCCCACTGACTTCCACTGTATGGCCAAAAATTACAATGGAAGTCAATGGGAACCAAAACAATGTTCTTCAAAATATCTTCAAACCAAAATATGTTTGGCTACCAATGTTCTTCAAAATATCTTCTTTAACAGGATAGACTGAAGATCTTCTTTAAGAATATTTTGAAGAATGTTGGTAACCAAAAATTTCCCATTGACTTTCATTATATAGACAAAAATTACAATGCAAGTCAATGGCAATCGAAACTCTTTAGTTAGAAAGTCACAGTTTTGGAACGAGAACGACGCAAGTAAATGACAGAATTTTCATTTTTGGATGGACTATCCCTTTAAAAGACAGACAGAAAATGCATAACACCAAACGCAAAAGACAAAATGAAAAAATGCATGTTAATATTATGAAACACACAGGCTGTGAGCACATTTAGTTCATGTATCCCTCATTCAGTAGTCCCTGGAAGTCCTATTACTATCCCCTCATCTCATAAACTCGTTTTTGAAGATGATTAGACATAATACAGAACACATACTTAACAAAATGTGTTTGAGGAGGAGGGCTCTATTCCTGCACCCGAAAAAATCTCCAGTATGATGAGCACCGAGCCGACAGGATCCTCATTTGTAATGTCATGTGACTAGAGACACCCTGTTCAGATTCATGCAGAAGGAAAGCATGTGGGTCTCTGGCGAGGGACAGAATGATACAAATCTTCAGGAGGTATCTTAGACTGGCATATTTACATGTGTACAATATGTCCTGACGGGTCGCATGTGAGACGTGTGCACGATAAATCAATTCATGAACAAAAACAACAAATAAATAAGTTGTGAATCACGGTGAGCAGACATCTGTCATGTGTTTGAGTCAAGTTTAGCACTAGTTAGTTGTATAACCACATGTTTCCGGCTCTGGTATGACATCACTTCCTCTCTACAGATAGATTGAGACTCCAAAACGTGTTGTTGGATGCACAGGCTGGTCTGAGGAGGTTAAAGTCGCTGCTGGTTTGGGCCTCAAGCCTCATGGCCTCAGACATTCACTCAACAGGGACAATGAAACTACATTTCCTGTATATAGATGTGTACTAGAGACGTAGAAGAAAAGGTACGGCTACCTTTTTAATCTGCGGGAGGGAAGATTTCACAGCAAACACAAAACCTAGTGTAGACTTCCTGCAAAAGTCATGACACTGTTATTGTGCATTATGGAGGTGTGCTTTTTTTCTGCCCAATTGGTGGTTTACATACAATGTGCCCCTTTCAAAAAAAGATTAAAACCTAATCAGTAACCATCATTACAATATTAATACAAATAAAATCAACAATTGATAATAATACAATACATACACAGAATAATGAAAACGTTCATTGCCAGACCCATCTTAAAGAGTTTCCTCTTGCATTTACACAATAAAATGGAGGGAAAAGGTGCAGATATTTTCCACTGTAAAAACGACTGCATCCATTCAAGATTAAAAAAACGAATCACAAAAGTGGAGTGAGTTCTTAAAGATCATAAAGTGAGCAGCCCGGTGAAGCGTGTGCCTGCCTTCCTGTGTGTGTTCAGCCCCGTTAGTGTCCTGAACCAGAGAGGAAGTCCGGGAGGCAGGGAGATTCAGTCAACAAGCTCTTCCTGTGGCTCTGGAACTGTTTCCTGTTGCCGGTGGCCATTTTGCACAAGCTGGGATGGGCCACTTTCATGCGAGTCCTCTGCTCGTGAGACAACCCAGAAGGATGTGCAGAAAAAGCCAGAGTTCCGTGGGCAGAGGGTGCCAGGGGTTGATCGACGTGAAAAGGGGACGGGGTTAAAAAAAGGAACGGGGCGGTTGGAGGGGGTTTGAAAACGAAACGAAAAAGAAAACCCCAAATAAAACAAAACAAGAAGAAATCACACACTCATCGTCATGTTGGGTGAATACTGGAAAGAGACAAGGGGGGGGGGGGGGGGGAG